CCCTTAATTTTCAGTCCTGTGTGGGCATATATAAATGAATTCACTGAAGTTAACACTATACATCTAAATGAAGCATATATCCTTTTCATATTCTAACTTTGACATATTGAGTATATGCATTAGTTCATTGTAATTGGATACCTAAATTCCCGACAAGATGACATAATTAGTCGCCTGTATGTGCCAGTAAAATGTTTAAGGTCCTATAATTCATTCAAAATCATGCAGATTTTTATCATAAAAGTTGTGGGCATTTAGAGAGCTATACATTAAGTTACAGTCAAAATACAGCTCAATCATGTAAAGAGAGGAATATTTCACCGCAACCCACCACAGAGACAGGCTACAGCTGAGGACATCTTGTACGCACGCACGCACACACGCACACACGCACACACGCACACACGCACACACGCACACACGCACACACTCACACACTCACACACTCACACACTCACACACACACACACACACACACCACAGGCTGTTGTACTATAATACACATTTCCCATTCATCACATAGGGATGTGGGACGTCTTCTTTAACTACCTGGCGACATGCTGCATATAAAAGATACACAGTCACTGTCATCTTCACCTCCAAGCAGATGGCTATTTAAGCATCATTCCTCACCGCGGTGCCAAGCGATGGATCATTAAAGATATGTCAAGGACGTTCGCTAGGATTTTCTTTGCGTGGTAAGAGTGTAATTACACAATAACTGGCAAACACAACGCTGGGCCTTTGTTCAATTTGTGCAATTTCATGCATAGCACAGCAGTGCTCTGAAGAGAACCGAGCTTGTCTATGGATTAGCTACTGTAACCGAATCAAGCAGACACGCTCTCTTTCCTGCAATGGTTATCAGAGGGGAAAAAGGGGATAAAGCAACGGATTAGTGCTGTGTGATTATACACCTGTAACATCTGTGACAATATGGTATTAAAATATGGTATTAAAGGGCGGCCTACATCTTGGATAATACGCTGTTTCTGAACGACCTTCCAGATGATATCATCAAACGGATGGAAACGCGATGATGAAAGCGCGTTCATATTTGTGAGATAACTTCCGACCAATGCCTCCTGTGACATGTTCCATTCAGAACCGACGGCATCGATCAAATCCATCGGGTCGAAGTAAATCGATGAATAATATGAATATGTAATTGAACGTGTATGTGTGGCCTAGGTTCCTCCAGTGGTCGTGCAGCCTATGCAGAGTAAAAGTGAGAAGACATCATTGTCACTCATTACGTCAATATTTGAATATGTTACGTTCATCATACTGTATATTCTTTGCTGTGTAGCTACATCAGTCCATTCGATGGGTCCTTTCCAAACGTACAATAAAAAGACTGCCTTGCCCTAGAGTTACGTCCACTTAAATTATGCTTTGCTACAGTTTTTTTTTTTTTTTGAAAACGCCTACACCATATAACCAACATCTATAGACCAGCCCCACCCTCAAACGGCCCGGACTGTGACTGCGAGGCTTTAATGGTTGTAAAATTCCCACTGATCGAAATTTGTGTCAGCAATTTATCTCAGACTGCTAGGACTTTGAGGCATTTCTTTCCCCATGAGATTGGTAGCTGGTGGGTTTCCCCTCAATTGTCCCTTAAACAATTACTGCTGGAGATCAGGGACACTGTTACCCAGGCTGTTAAACTGCTGGTTCCTATTCGCTCTTTGTGGGTGTTATCTCAACCATGGGGGACGAAAGCACTCTACCGACTGTGACCATTCCACGGCTACACAAAGAGGATGAGCAGTGTACAGAGGAAGACAGATAGAAGCTGACACTCAATGTATTAAAACTCTACACTATAAGATATGAGCTTCTGGTGGAAGTGAGGCGATGTGGCTTGAGGCACAGCTAGCGTTCGGTTATCTTTGCTGCAGTGTAAGATATAATCCAGTTAATGTTCACTGTTTCACTTAACGTCATACATCATTTGTGGAACTTGTGAGTTATTTCATTCAGACTAATTCAATGCCCCGCAAGCTCTTGCATGCATGCTCAGTGGGCACAATTACTATACATTCTGTCAACAGTTTAATATTAATTGTGTATAATGCCACTCCTTGTAGACACATCAAAGTCAATACGAAAGCCATGCCAATACACTGTCCCTATGACATGGCGTTTACATGGTGCTCCTACTGAATAGACAAGCTAAACCACCAATACTTAACAACCGCAGCTATGTGTGTGTGTGTGTGTGTGTGTTTGTGTTTGTGTGTGTGGGTGTCTGTGTGATATCATTCCTACAAGCATTAGACAATCAGTAGAATATTAGAGCCTGGAGTGTTCCCCTTCTATGTAAGTGCCTCTTATTGATAGAGAGGCGGACACAGTACTCGTTGCTGTCGGATACTGCTGATGACATGGGCGACACATGATAGAACCACACACAGTGGTGCATGGAGCCTCACGCAGATCCCATCTGTGCTCTCACTTTCTATTTTTACTGCTCAGTCTTGTGGTTCTCTCTCTCTCTCTCTGTTTCCGTGTCTCTCTACCCATTTCTCTCCCCGTCTTATCTGTGGCTTATTCCTCCCTCGTTGTCTGTCAATCTCAAGTATGGCGTTTATTTCCATTCTTCCCTCCACCCTCCCTCTGTTTGGCAGTCCTGTAGTGCGTGAGCTCTGTTGTAAGGCGTTCCGCACATGGGCGTTGCTCACATGGGCGTTCCTCACTTCCTTCACATCTTGGCATCGTCTTACGTCAACTCTACATACTTGAGCGTCTCGGTACGCTAACATGGTATAGTCATGTACTGTGGAGGAAAACCCCTGTGAGAAGAGCAACGGTCTTTAAACGGAATAGCAGAGAGTCAGTGGAAGATATCGTGCTGGGAACTCACTCACAATAAAACCCGGTCATTTGATTGTTATTCATTATTCTAACATTACAGCTCTCAGCAGCTGTAAACATTATGATCAGTGGATCCCAAAAATGATCTTTAACTTGTAAATAGTGGCTTTCAGTTGACATGCGCCATAAACACAGTCAGTGTTTACATCAGTGCAGGCTGTTCAGCTAACTTTATCCCCTTTCGGTCTACTCAAAAAGGCAGCATGTGAGGTAAGTTGCATCAAATAAAGAAGTGCCATCAGAATGAACATTGTTCCTTGGACAATGAAATGATAATAACGCAAAGGAACAAAATGCAGCCCTCTCTGATGAGCACAATGTTTCAGCGTTATATTATGGTAAAAATGTTGCCAGATAAAAGACAACCCTGGTTATGATAGCCCTTTATATCTAGTTGATGATAGCATTAGAGAAAATATGTCTATCTACATTTCAAGCAGTGGGTTCACACCTCAATCTCTCTCAAATCAGAAGCTCCTCTCCCACGTGTGTCTCTCCTAATATGACCGGTAGAAACAACCTGTCATCTGTATTCAATCATAAAGTAACCGTAACCATTTTGCCCCAAAAACTTTGTTTTCATCCACAGCACTCAGTGGATAAGTACTCATGTGACATTACACACCAGTAGGCTAGTTTATCCTCCTTTCATTCATGTTTACTTGTTTATTTTCAGTATGGAAGGCAAACCAGATCCTTTTGTTTGTAATGGCAGTTGATTTAGTAAGGGTTTCAATCCTCCAATCAGCACATGCAGCTGAATAGATCTATGAGGATGTGTGTTAGGGATGCACCGAAATGAAAATTCTTGGCCGAAACCGAAAAAGAGGAAACCAAGACCGAAAACCGAAAACCGAAACACCGAAATAAATTATGCCAATTATTAGTACCATTGCATTTATGGATATGAGGCACCAAGGGCGTAGGTTTGGTCTCAGCTTCGGTGGGGACATCTCTCCCCCCCTCCGGCAAGTGAACTTTTACTGAGAATAATGTGATTATTTTTGCGTTTAGTTGAGACAATAGCCTGTTGCTTTTAGATGGTAATGCTGTTTGTCAGATTCAATATATTGTAGCGACCCTGGTGGTGCCACTACTCCGCCCCTACTAATGGGATATCCCAAATAGGCCACATTACATAAGCAAAATATACACAGGAAACATTTCCACTGTTTATTGTGACTGGTAACTTTACGGTTGTCTTCAGTCACTATCCTGTGTACTTATAGCGTGTCAGATAACTCCCCTCCCCTAGGTTTTTTAGCCAATCAAATTACGGCGTTTCTAGTACCGTACGGGCTCTGCGGTCGGAATTTACCCAAATCGCTTCACAAACTCATAACGGAGTTCGCTAAAATATTAGTGGGGACAATTTAGTCATGTTAAAATGTTGTTGGGGACATGTCCCCAGCGTCCCCCCCTAAACCTACGCCCATGTGAGGCACTTTCTTGCAGGATTTCACTGAACATATCAGACAACGAGGGTGCATGCCCCTCATCTAGTGCAGAGAGACGAGTCTTTTTTTCTGCGCTCTGATCTCCGTGCGCTGCTGCTCCGTGCCCTACTGCTCCGTGCGCTGCTGCTCCGTGCGCTGCTGCTCCGTGCCCTACTGCTCCGTGCGCTGCTGCTCCGTGCCCTACTGCTCGGTGCGCTATTGCTCCGTCTCAACGCGGGTTCTCCGCATCCATCGCCGCCTGGATCATTTCTCGTGCGCGCTGCTTTATTTCTGCATCCAAGTAATGGTCTTTATAACGCGGATCAAGTACAGTCGCGATGAAGTGCAGAGGATCCGAATAGATCACAACATATTTCGGCCGTATTGTTTCGGTGATAAAAGTATTTCGGCCGAAAACCGAAAATGCCCTTTTGGGCCATTTTCGGCCGAAAATTTTGGGTGGCCGAATATTCGGTGCATCCCTAATGTGTGTGTGTCACACCACACAGTACAGATGCAGACCTAGTATAGTTCAGCTGGTGGAGCACGAGGCTTACAGCACCTGAGTCATGGGAATGATTCCCACATGCAACCCTATATTACAACAATTACGTTCCCTGGGAACTATTGTAGAAACACGAGATTACGTTACTAGTAAAACATAATTAAGCCGTAAAAATCACATCATGCGGGTGGAATCGAACCACTGCTGACGGCTCGGTAGGCGACGGCACTACCCACTGTACCACCGTTCGTTCTTCTGCCTGAGGCAAAACACAATTTACAGTGGCAAACCGCCGCGTGCGCTCTACGTTTTCGTTAGGGTTAGTTTCCTAATGTCAGGGTTAGGTTAAGGTTAGGGCTAGATTTGTAATGTTAGGTTTAGGGCTAGTTTTGTAATGTTAGGGTTTGGGTTAATAACCTGTGAACTGTAAGAACCGCGATTACATTGCATAACAACTTGACATTAAACAGTGACCCTGGTGGAGGAGTGGGTAGGGCGCTTGGCTGCCGAGCCGTATGCAGTGGTTCAATTCCATACGCTAATTTTTTACATAAATGCATGGTAGATACGTTCACTAGTAACGTAATCGCGTGTTCCTACAATAGTTACCAGGGAACGTAATTCTTGTGATATTGGGCTGCCACATGGGGAGAGAAACTATAAAAATACATCGCTCTGGAAAAGGCCTAACGATAAACCATAATGAGAAACCCATTCCCATATCAGGTCGCCAAAAACTGTCTGTAGAATAGGGACACTACCACTGACCCGGAGCCTGCTGCTGGACCATCTCCGATAGGTCCTGAAGGTGTATGAAGAGGACGAGTCCTCCAGCGCCGAACAGCAGAAGAAACCAGAAGGAGCAGGGCAACTTGACGGCCGTGGCCCTCATCCGTCTTCTCCCACGCAGGGCGTCCACTATTCTACACTCGAGCCACAGCATTCTGCCTCAGCTCAAACTCTGTGTGTCCAACTGTTGGAGAGAGAACAGGGACGTTAGATAACAGCACATTACATCGGGTTACTTCAGTTTAACACCTACATTTTTCTATTTAAATGACCTTGGTATAATTTCTTAATGTACTCTGGAATTAAAGCATAGGAAAATTTAACCATTGGAGAGAAAAACCTGGAATAATTGTGTTTAACAAAATGTAAACAACACTTTCAACTCATCCAAGTCACCTTTTGCAGATGAACACCTTTTAGGCCCACTTTGACAGGAAGAACAAAGACCCAGCCATTAAATTGGAGGATGTGTTGAGCAGTTGGCTGGGGCTTTCACTGATATTTTCAACCTGTCACTGTCCCTGTCGGCTGTCCCCACTGGCTTCAAGACCACAACCATTGTGCCAGTGCTGAAGCAGTCGACTGCGTCATGCCTAAATGACTATCGACCTGTTGCGTTCTCCCCCACAATCATGTATTGCTTTGAAAGGCTCATATTGGCTCACATTAAGTCCTGCCTCCCTACAGGTCTACTGAGGACATCATCTCATCTACTGTCCACTCTGCCCTGACCCACCTGGACCAAACCAACACCTATGTGTGGATGCTGTTCATAGACTTCAGCGCAGCATTCAATACAGTCAGCCCCTCTAGGGTGGTTACCACACTCCAAGACCTTGGGATCAGCCTCTCTCTTTGTAACTGGATTCTAGACTTCCTAAATAACAGTCCTCAGTCTGTCAGGTTGGTCAACCTCACCTCCTCCACCCTGACACTAAACACCGGTGTCCCACAGGGCTGTGTGCATAGCCCACGCTTGTACTCCCTCTTCACCCACAACTGGGTACCTCTACACAGCTCCAGTACCATAGTCAAATTTGCAGACGATACCACAGTAGATGGTCTGATCAGTGACAGCAACGACACAGCTGTGGCCAGCTACAAATTCATGGGTGTCCACATCTCCAACAACCTATCCTGGTCCCTCAACACCACAAACCTGGTCCAGAAGACGCAACAGTGCCTGTACTTCTTAAAGAAGCTAAAGAAGGCCCACCTATCGACTAACTCCTGGTAAACTTTTATAGATCCACGGTCGAGAGAACTATAACCAACTTGCTCTGACAAGTCCCTGCAGCGGGTGGTAATAACCGGCCAGCGCATCATTGGTGCCCAGCTCCCCGCCATCAAAGACATTCAGCAAGTGCTGTTTGCGGAGAGGCGTGTCATTATCAGGGACCCCTCACACCAAAGCCATAAACTGTTTGCCCCCCTGCCATCAGGCACGCGTTACTGATCTCTACTCACCCGCACCAGCAGGCTCAGAAACAGTTTCTTCCCAACTGCTGTTAACATACTGAACTCTGAAACCCTTCGGTAACCTTGCACTCACACACATATTTATTTTATCTGTCATTTGCACAATGTCCTGTTGTACTCTTCTTGCTACCTCTTGCCCTACACACTGCTAGCCTAATTATTATATTTGACTTTTGCACAATGCTTATTGTTTGTACTATCCATTTACCACTTGCACAGATGTTCTCCACTGGTGTGCCCTCTGCACATTTGAACTGAATACCTGCACATGTCAATTGGACATCCTTACACTGTACTCCATCTTTTTGCACTTTTCTTTTTAACATCTGGTTGGATGCAAACTGCACTTGGCTGTACTGTACTTGTACTGTCCAATGACAATAACGTTGAATCTAAACTCATATAAGAGCTGAACACACTTGGGACATTCTTCATCAAATGGAACTCAAATATTATAGCCTGTAGATATGTTTAGGGTCATTATTTTACCATATGATGAACCCCTGAACAACTCGGCTTACACCAGAGGGTATAGCATGGCACTGCAAAATGCTATGGTAGCCATTTAAATTCAGGGTGCTCTGGAAACAGCTAAAGAGCACTTCAATGTTTGACAACTGATGTGACACACTGAGGAACCATCCGTTCACCTACTCCACTGCGTACAAAAATACCCTGCGTGATGAACCAAACATTTTATATTAGTCTATAACACCTTCTTCCAATCATCAGTAGTCCACTGGCGCTGCTTCATGGACTAGGCAACAGCTTTCAGCCACTTGACCCGTCACACCTGCAGCTCAAAGCCTCTCGTTTCCAAGTGCCATTTGATGGTGTAGGAAACTAATTGACACCTAGGCTCTCTGCAATTTCTCTAGAAGAAAAGACCTACACTTTAGAGGGTTATAATTAATGATAAGTATTTCATATCAAATGCACCAAATAACATAGCATTAATTTGCTATTGCATAGCATCACAACAGTACATGGCAGGCGACATCTATGCAGTAATCATTTAAGAGATGGAAAGCAAGAATTATATAAAACATAAATACAATCAAAACTGGCAGCAATTCCAAACTGTTGAAACAGGAAACATAGACATGTATATGGGAAACATAGACATGTATATAGGAAACATAGACATGTATATGGGAAACATAGACATGTATATGGGAAACATAGACATGTATATAGGAAACATAGACATGTAGATGGGAAACATAGACATGTATATAGGAAACATAGACATGTATATAGGAAACATAGACATGTATATAGGAAACATAGACATGTATATAGGAAACATAGACATGTATATAGGAAACATAGACATGTATATAGGAAACATAGACATGTATATAGGAAACATAGACATGTATATAGGAAACATAGACATGTATATAGGAAACATAGACATGTATATAGGAAACATAGAAATGTATATAGGAAACATAGACATGTATATAGGAAACATAGACATGTATATAGGAAACATAGACATGTATATAGGAAACATAGACATGTATATAGGAAACATAGATATGTATATAGGAAACATAGACATGTATATAGGAAGTGGGGAACTTAGAATATACTGATGTGGATTTATACTACAAATATAATGTTTGAGTCACTGAAACATGTGTGTCACACGGACTAGTAGAAGTAATTTTATTTTGGGGGAAAATAAAATGGTATTGCCTTTGGGGCAAATTCTCCGTTTGGACATTGCCAGACAACACTTCATGTTAACTTCTCCATAATTGCATGGTAGTAAGTTCTGATGCAATCCCATGCAAATCGACCTCAAGGTAGCGCTGTTACAAGCCTCCAATGTGGCTTTATTTTGAAACTTCACAATGCCAACCCCCTGTGACTGAGACCCCCTGTGACTGAGACCCTCTGTGACTGAGACCTCCTGTGGTGCATAGGTCCTGACAATGATCTCCACACAATTAACATTTTACAATATCATATTGAATTTGTTAACATTTGTTAATGTTGCAAATGACTATTGTAGCGGTAGTACAGAGGCCAATTATCAGTAACCATAAGTCATGTTTTTCAATGGCACGTTGTGTTTGCTAATTAAAATGTATAATTTTAAAAGCAATAATTGGTCATTAGAAATCCCTTTGATTAGCACTGCTTTAAACAGGTGTGCTGATTAAATAGGCAATACAACTAGCATTATTTAAACGCATAAACTAGAACCTGTTGCATCAGCATTTCTGGCTTCGATTACAGGTTAAAAATGGCATGAAACTAAAAACATTCTTGTGAAATTGTCACGGCCTTGCAGGGTGAAGTGTAGAAGGAGCGAGAACACAGTGCTTATATCCGTTCTGAGTGTTTATTCCAACACGATATGAAACAAACACAAAACACTGACACGGAACGTGTACATTAAACACTGTAACGTAAAACAAAGCTTGCTTACACAAAGCGACTTAATACAACGACAACACAGTGCACGACTATAAAAAACTAACGAAACACTAACCGACATTGACACACGTAACATTATATTAATCCCAAGCACCCGTGAACCTAACCAGGGACGTTAAATAACCGACTGACTAACTAATTTATGGAGATTAGCTAAACCCAAAACAGCTGTGCTCCTAATCAACATATTACACAGAAGTGCTCTCCTCTAACACCCTGTGGCAGGACAGCTGACCGATACGTGACAGAAACATTTCATACTATTCTTTTTCGGAGGTCTGGAGGGTTTTACGCGCAAACCCCCCAGTCAGGCAATATAGTGCTGTTTGAGGAAACCCGCCCAAGGCTGTTTGCAGATTTTCCATTTTTGTATAATTTCCCCCTTCAGTACTTATAAAATATATGATTATTTAGTATGCATTGTGTTCTTTGCCTCCTTTATAATTCTAGAATACAGTGGCAAATTACGGAATTCTTAAAATGAATCAGATGAATCACTTTAACCGTCATGTAGTGAATGCACAAGTCTCA